CTGAGTAGCTGGGATTACAGCCTGGCGCCACCAGCACGCCCCGCTAATTTTGTATTTTTAGTAGAGACTGGATTTCTCCATATTGGTCAAGCTGGTCTCAAACTCCTGATCTTGTGATCCACCCGCCTTAGCCTTCCAAAGTGCTGGGATTATAGGTATAAACCACTGTTCTGGGCCTCGTTGATATATTTATTTTTTTTATTTTGAGACGGAGTTTTGCTCTTGTTACCCAGGCTGGAGTGCAATGGCGCGATCTCAGCTCACGGTAACCTCTGCCTCCTGGGTTCAAGCAATTCTGCCTCAGCCTCCTGAGTAGCTGGGACGACAGGCTGCGCCACCATGCCCAGCTAATTTTTGTATTTTTAGTAGAGACGGGGTTTCACCATGTTGACCAGGATGGTCTTGATCTCTTGACCTTGTGATCCACCTGCCTCAGCCTCCCAAAGTGCTGGGATTATAGGCCTGAGCCATCGTGCCTGGCCTGATTTATTTTTTAAGGAAATGTTTAAATTCCTTACCTATTTCTTTTGTGTATATTCTATTAACTTCTTGTGTGTGTTTACTGTGGGGATTACATTTACTATCCTAAAGTTGTAACCCTCTAATTTGAATGTATATATTTAACTTCAATAACATACAAGAATTCTCCTTTATAGCTCCATCCTCACCCCTTTTGTTTGTTGGTGTCACAGAATTACATCTGTATATACTCTGCCCAAAAGTCATAAAGTAATGATTATTTCAAATGTGTTAGTCTCTCAAATTATGCAGAAAACATTTGGAGTTACAAACCAAAGTTACAATATCAGCCTTTAGGCCAATTGTTTTTCTTTTAAATGAAATGTTTCTTAAATGATATAGATATCAAAAGTAGAGTTATAAACCACTATCATAGTATTACTAGTTGTATTTACCATTATTATCTTTCTTTCTTTTTCTTTCTTTCTTTTCTTCCTTTCTTTCCTTTCTTTCTTTCTCTCTTTCTTTCTTTTTTTTTTTTTGACCGAGTTTGTTCTTGTTGCCCAGGCTCTTGGAGTGCAATGGCACGGTCTTGGCTCACTGCAACCTCCGCCTCCTGGGTTCAAGCAATTCTCCTGCCTCAGCCTCCCGAGTAGCTGGGATTACAGATGCGCGCCACCACACCCGGCTGCTTTTGTATTTTTAGTAGAGGTGGGGTTTCACCATGTTGGCCAGGCTGGTCTTGAACTCCTGACCTCAGGTGATCTACCCGCCTTGGCCTGTCAAAATGCAGGGATTACAGGGGTGAGCCACCACACCCGGCTGAGATCTTTATTTCTTGATACTGCTTCAGTTCTGTCAAGTGTGTTTTCATTTCAGTATGCAAGAAGGCTCCTTTAAGCATTTCTTACAGGGAGGTCTGGCGGCAACAAACTCCGTCACTTTAAAAAAAAATTTTTTTTTTTTTTGAAGAAGTGCTGTCTTCTGTTTACAATAGCAAAGACCCGGAACCAACCCAAATGCCCATCGATGATAGACTGGACAGGGAAAATGTGGCACATATACACCCTGGAATACCATGCAGCCATCAAAAACAATGAGTTCGTGTCCTTTGTAGGAACATGGATGAACCTGGAAACCATCATTCTCAGCAAACTGACACAAGAACAGAAAATCAAACACCGTATGTTCTCACTCATAGGTGGGTGTTGAACAATGAGAACACATGGACACAGGGATGGGAGCATCACACACTGAGGCCTGTTGGGGGGAAATAGGGGAGGGACAGTGAGGGGTGGGGAGTTGTGGAGAGATAGCATGGGGGGAAATGCCAGATATAGTTGAAGGGGAGGAAGGCAGCACATCACACTGCCATGTGTGTACCTATGCAACAATTTTGCATGTCCTTCACATGTACCCCAAAACCTAAAATGCAATTTAAAAAAAAAATAAAATAAGTGCTATCTTATTCTGTTGACCCTGTCTTACTCTGTTGGCCCAGACAGGAGTACAGTGGTCCAATCTTAGCTCACTTAAGCCTCAAACTCCCAGGCTCAAAAGATCCTCTTGTTTCAGCCTCCCAAGTAGCTGGAACTACAAGTATGCACCATCACACTTAGCTAATTCTCCAAAAAAAAAAAAATTCAAGATGGGATTTTGCTACGTTGACCAGGCTGGAAGGCTATTCATGAATTTGGTCACAGCGCTCTGCAGCTTTCAACTCCTGTGCTCAAGCAGTTCTCCTATCTTAGTCTCCTGAGGTGCTGGGACTACAGGTGTGTGCCACTGCACCCAGCTTGACCTCCAAAGTTTTGGTAAGAAATCTACTGATTATATTATTGAGGATCCCTTGTATGTGATAAGTCACTTCTTTCTTGCTGGCTTTCAAGATTCTTTGTATCTGTCTTTCTTAAGTTTGAAATTAATGTACTTGGTCTGGGTCTCTTTATCTTCTTGCAGTTTGTTGAGCTTCTTTGGAGGTTTATATACATGTCTTTCATCAAATTTGGGATGTTTCCAGCCATTATTTCTTCAGATATCTCTCTGTTCCTTTCTCTCTCTACCCTTCTCTCTAGGACTGCCACAATCTGTATGTTGGTCTACTTCATGTTGTTCCACAAGTCCTTAAGCTCTTGCGTTGTTTTTTTCAGTCTTTTTTTTGTGTTCTTCAAACTTGATAATTTTTACTGTCCTATGTTCAGGTTTGCTGATTGATTATTCTGCTTGCTTGAATCTGTCTTCATGTTGTCTAGTGAATAATTTCATTTCAGTTCTTGTACCTTTCATCTTCATAATTTCTTTTTGGTTTCATTATAGGTTTTCTACCTCTTTATTGATACTTCAATTGTCTTCATACATAATTTTCTTGACTTTCCCCATCTCCCTTTAGTTCTTTGAGCATGTTTGAAACAGTTGTTTTTAAGTCTTTGTCTAGTAGATCTGTGATCAGGCCTGTTTCAGGGACAGCGTCTATTGACTTAATTTTTCCTTTGAATGGGCCATACTTTTCTGTTTATTTGTATGACTTGTGGTTTTTTTGTTGTTGATGAAAGTGAACATTGAATCTAATAATATAACTCTAGAAATCATATTTTTCCTCTTTTCCAGGGTTTGCTGGTTTTTGTTATGTTTTTGTGTATTATCTTTTTTTGTGGTAGGGTGTTTTTGTCCCAAATGTCAGCCGAAGGTATAAACTTAGTAGTCTTCTCAGGTCTTTTCTGAGCCTGTGCTTTTCCCTGGGCGTGCAGGAAAAACACTTTTAACTTTCAAAATTTTTACATATATGTAGTTCCTTTTGAATATCTTTGTCTTTATCATCTGGTTCCCAGAGGAGGAAAATGAAGGTATTAAGGGAATGGGCATCAGCCTTTTAAATTCTGTTGGAAGTCACTTCAGCTCAAGAGGTAGAGGCTTGCAACGATGCGGGGAGGTGCAACAACAATGGCTACTTGTCTCTTTGTTATTGCTCTGTGATCAAAGCAGCAATCAGTGGCCAGAGAACAGACGTCTGATAACTTGGAGGACAGCATCCTTTTTTCCAACCCTAGTGCCTGCAACTGGGAGCAAGGTTCTCCGGGAACAGATGCGTGGCTGCCTGCCATGGGACTAGAAGGGTGAGGTGTGGGTGACTGATACTGTGCCAGGAGAGGCATTCATCAAAATTAACCTCAATTTACAACCCAAGCCTTACCCTGGAAGTTGCAAGCTTTCAATTGACTGCAGAGTTTCATAATAGTTACATCAGATAGCTTCTGCCAGTGCATTGTTGTCTAGGTGGGAAGACAGGTGCCTGGTGCTTCTTACTCTACTGACTTTCTAGAATTTTCTCCAGTTCTTGAGTCTGTTAGGGATTTGTTGGTAAACTGGTTCTTTGGTTTTCCTGCTCCCTGCTTAGAACTCAGGTCTCCTAAGGCCCTTACTACTTTTCTGTAAGCTTTAAATATTCAAAGTTATATTCATGTCTTTTTTTTTTTTTTTTTTTTTTCAATCTCCTTGGACTTGTGGGTTTAATTAACTTTTATTTAAAAACGTAACTATTTAACTATTGTTTTTAGTGGGATTTGGGAAGGAAGTAAAAATAGATGAGTTTAAGTCTTATCTGGGAGTCTTAACTCTTTATGTGTACTTGTCTTATCTCCCTCAACTAGACTGCAAAGTCTTTGGTTTAGCTGAGTTAGGGATATCATTCTTTTTATCCCTCTCAGTAGCTAACTTACTGCTTTCCACATAGTAAATAATAATGTTTGAACTTGTTCAGTAAGGCAGTGAAGCAAAGTGATTGATATATATAACAAACTGGTAATCATTTTAATCACAAGGCAATTATTAACATATTGTGTCCATTGATATATATATAATTATATATAACATTATATATTATATAATATACTGTAGCCATTCATATATTTCTGTATTAGGTGGTGTTTTCTTTGTTTGTTTGTTTTAGCTTATCAGCTATCATTAGTGTTAGTATACTTTATTCATGGCTTAAGACAATTCTTCCAGTGTGGCCCACGGAGGCCAAAAGGTTGGACACCCCTTTTCTAGCTATGTAGAAACACATACTGTACTATACTACTGGGCACTAAGTCAATGCTTCATAATGTGAAAAAGTCCTCACTATATTTAGGATGTCTTGATAAGAAATTTCATTATTTTAATTTCATGTATGTTTCATTTAACCAGGGATTTCTTAGGGTAACAGTCAAAAAATTTGTAGAAGTGAAGATGGAGATTGAGAAAAATCCAGTCATGACATTTCTTGCACTCTCTTTTTCCCTTGTTCTCTATGTTAATGGGTCCTTGTAGTCTTACCAATGAAACACTAACCAAACTTCTCTTAATCTAATATAGTAGTTCGTATGAGTCTATAGTAGGTCATATGAATTATGTAAGGTTGAATTTAAAATAATGGATTTTTAAGATAGTATGTACTCTAAAGTTTGGTCTAGAAACTACATGAAAATGAGTGCTTTGACAGTTTATGTCCTAGGCTAAGTCAGGGTACAAATATATATCTGTTAATTATATTGTTTTTCCAGTCCAAACAGGGGCTTTACAGAAATGCACTGTATGAGTGGCCATTCCAATTTTGTATCTTGTGTATGCATCATACCCTCAAGTGACATCTACCCTCATGGACTAATTGCCACTGGTGGAAATGACCACAATATATGCATTTTCTCACTGGACAGTCCAATGCCACTGTATATTCTAAAAGGCCACAAAAATACTGGTGAGTATAATAACACTTTGGTATTTTTGTATTTGAAGAAGTTTTATCCCTTTGAGAGTAAAATTTACATACCCAGTTTCTCAAGCTTTTATTAGATTTTGTTTTACCTATAGCTGTGGCTTGGTATTGGAGACCCTTTTGAGTTATCTTAGTTCTGTAAATTCTGTTAGAAATTTGTTGTCATCAGTAAAGGTTGATACACTTATATTATGTAAAAAGTAATGTGTTCAGTTATTGGCTGGGAGTGATGGCTCACACCTGTAATCCCAGCACTTTGTGAGGCTGAGGCAAGCAGATCACTTGAGGCCAGGAGTTCGAGACCAGCCTGGACAATATGGTGAAACACTGTCTCTACTAAACATTCAAAAATTATCCAGATATGGTGGTACAAACCGGTAATCCCAGCTACTCAGGAGACTGAAGCACAAGATTCGCCAGAACCCAGCAGGAAGAGGTTACAATGAGCTGAGATTGTGCCACTGCACTCCAGCCTGGGTGACAGAGTGGAGACTGTCTCAAAAAAATAATAAGTAAATAAAATGTTCAGTAATTTTTTTAAAAAAGCTGTATAATTTTAATATACTTTATGACTTTGTTTTTTAACTATTTTATACAATGAATACATTTACTCAGGAAAACTAATAAAGACCCAGAAGGAATGTGTTCAGGGCTCTGGTATTATTATTGAAAAGTATTTAATACATTTGAATATTATTTTCTGTGATTTGTATATATTCCTGATTCTGTGACAATTCTGGATTTCTGTGTGGCTTAACAGTTCTTTATTGTAAAATGACATGCTTAATCAGTGCAGTAAGTGTACTTTTTAAAAAATATAAATGAAATAGTTGGAACATGTTTCATAAACGCTTTAAACTTAATTCCTTTAAAGAATTTGTATAATATGTCTGGCATCATGGCTCATACGTGTATTCCCAATACTTTGGGAGGCCAAGATGGGAGGATTGCAAGAGGCAAGGGGTTTGAGACCAGCCTGAGCAACATAGCAATATCCCATCTCTACAAAAATTTAAAACATTAGTTGGACATGGTGGATATGGTGGTCCCAGCTACTCAGGAGGTTGAGGTGAGAAGATTGCTTTAGCCCAGGAGTTGGAGGCTGCAGTGAGCTGCGATCATACCACTGTACTCCAACCTGGGTGGATAGAGTAAGATCCTGTCTCTTAAAACAAAAATAATTTTTTTATTTTTATTTATTTATTTATTTATTTATTTGTTTATTGAGACAGAGTCGCGCTGTGTTGCTAGGCTGGCATGTAGTGGTACAATCTCAGCTTACTGCAGCCTCTGCCTCCCGGGTTCAAGCAATTCTCCTGCCTCAGCCTCTAGAGTAGCTGGGATTACAGGGGCCCACCACCATGCCCAGCTCATTTTTGTGTTTGTGTCTTTAGTATAGAGACAGGATTTCACCATGTTGGCCAGGCTGGTCTCGAACTCCTGACCTCAGGTGATCTGCCTGCCTCAGTCTCCCAAAGTACTGGGATTACAGGCATGAGCCACCATGCCCAACCAAAAACAAAAAGAATTTTTAAAATGTTTGTGTGCATGTATGTGTATTTGTGTGAGAAATCTTCAATACAGAGTGATAAAGATTTTTTATATTTTATTATGGAAATCAAATATATACAAAAGTTGAGACATCATATTTTTGTTTCATCTTCCCCTTCTGCTACATTATTTTAAAATTTCTGATATTCTACTATTTCATTTATAAATACATCCTTCATTTTGTGGCTCTAAAATAGGGGTTGGCAAATTTTTTCTATAAAGGATCAGATAGTAAATACATTTTAATCTTTTAGGTCATATGGTTGCTGTTATAACTGCTCAACTCTGTCACCGTAGTCCAAAGCAGCCATAGACAGTAAATGAATGAGTATGTCTGTTTTTGTGAACACTGAAATTCTAATTTCATATAATTTTCACATATTAGAAGATTGTCTTTTGCTTCTTTTTCTCTCAATTACTTAAACACATAAAAACCATTCTTAGTTTGTTAAGTATATAAATACAGGTGGCTCACCAGCATTAGTTTGCCAGGCTTTCTAAAAGATAAGCTCTCTCTCCCTCTCCTTCTAAAAAATAACTACAATATTATCACACCTAAAACAAAACAAAAACTAATTTTTTATCAACTATCCAAAGAATGTTCCAATTTACCCGGTTGTCTCATTAATCTTTTTTTATAGTTTATTTGAATTGTGACCCTTGTGACCCAAATAAGGTCCACATTTTTCTTTTTTTTTTATTATTTGGAGACGGAGTCTCGCTCTGTCACCCGGGCTGAAGTGCAGTGGCACAATTTTGGCTCACTGCAGCCTCCGCTTCCCGAGTTCAAGAGGTTCTCCTGCCTTAGCCTCCCAAGTAGCTGTGATTACAGGTGCCCATCACCACGCCTGGCTAATTTTTTTATATTTTTAGTAGAGACAGGGTTTCGCCGTGATGTCCAGGCTGGTCTCAAACTCCTGACCTCTGGTGATCCGCCTGCCTCAGCCTCCCAAAGTACTGGGATTACAGGCATGAGCTACCATGGCCAGCCCCACATCTTTCAATCTGTCAGTTTCTTTCTTTTTTCCTTGCTGTTTGAAACCAGATTATTTTAGCTATAGAATTTCCCACAATCTGAATTTTACTGGTTAAAGCTTGCTTGTTTCCTTTAATGTATGTTCTTTACTCACCTATATTTCTTGTAAGCTGTTAAATAGATCTAGAAGCTTTATCAGGTTCAGATTCAAGTTTTTGGCAACAGTATAGGTGGTATTCTGTATTTTCTGTTGTATCACATCAGGAAGCACACAGTATCTTTTTGGGATATTAAGATTGATTAGAGGGGCTGGGTGTGTTGGCTCAGGCCTATAATCCCAGCACTTTGGGAGGCCGAGGCAGGCGAATTACAGGTCAGGAGTTTGAGATCAGCCTAGCCAAGATGGTGAAACCCCGTCTCTACCAAAAATACAAAAATTAGCTGGGTGTGGTGGCGGGCGCCTGTAATCCCAGCTACTCAGGAGGCAGGAGAATCGCTTGAACCTGGGAGGCAGAGGTTGCAGTGAGCCGAGATTACGCCACTACACTCCTGCCTGGGTGACACTTCGAGACTCTGTCTCAAAAAAAAAAAAAAAATCAGTGGGTTCAAGTATTGTATCATTCATTCATTCTAAACCTCTCATCAGCCTTGCACAGTCGTCATTTTTAGCAGCTACTGATAATCATTGCCTAGATTCAATATTTTATTAAGGTTTACAAAATAATTGTACTGTAATTCTAATATTTCTGCATTTGATCACCAATACTTTTTTGTATAGATCTTTCCACATTAATTCTGGTTACCATGTGGGACTTTTATATCGAAAAGACAGAATAAATGCTTGCCTTGACCCTTCTTCCGTCTTATTTACTAGAAGGAGCTGTTTTCTGAATATCTTTTCATTTCTCAAATTGCTCCATATCTCACCATTGGAAACCTCTTTAAATTGACTCCTATGACCTTTTCATAAGTCCTTCACTAGTCTTCCTTGGTTTCTAATATTACAGAATGTTCTAGGTTCAATTTGTATATTCTGTACCTGAAACCGGCACTTTTGCCAAGAAGCCCTATTTTTTTTCTTTTACTGGGAAATGGTATTTTATTCAATTATATTATGCTGGTCTGTGGAAGAATATAAAGAGCACCCAAGTTTCAACTATTAAGATCTCAGTGATGTAACATATGAGCATTTCTCAGTTACCCTACATGTTCAACATGAATTAATAAAGGGACTCTGTTCATCTGATTTTCTCAGGGATGCAGGCTGATGGGGCTTTCTCTCCACACGTACTTCAATAGTAGTTGCAGCAGTCAAAGGACAACATGGTTAATAAGGCACTGGCTTTTAAAAGCATTTGCCTTCCTTGAGTGTCACAATAGTGGTGGATTTTAAAAAATCAGTTAAAAAAACCACCAAAAACGTGTCTGACTGAAAATGTCAGCTACCATTTTGTCTATTGACTAATGCAAGTATCATGGCTGTGCCTAACTTCAAATGGAGGAAGAAAGTACCATCCTCCCATGTGTCCACAGAGGGAGCATTACCACAGCATGTTTTCTGGTCATCAAGTATTCAGCTTCATCAAACAATTCGAAAGTCTCCTGAGTGATGCTAAGTATTCTGAACATCAGGGAAGTGATGCTCAGAAGTAAGCTGTCACACATACCCAATATATAGTTATGGAAAAGGAATAGGATAATCAGAGCAAACACTCTTACTCAGAAGAGGAAGCATTGCAAGACAAGAGTTTTTAATCTAGAGCCATTCGGAAATCTAAATTAGAGGCTATCTCAACTCAGGGTAGAGAGACTTTTGTGATTGCTTCCTTCTGGTCAAGGAAGAGGGTTTCCCAATCCATTGTTCTTTATGGCTGTGCTTTGACCCCCAAGTATATTCTTCTTTCCTAAGATATTTTTTCTTTTTTCTTTTGAGAGAGGGTCTTACTTTGGTGCCCATACCAGAATTCAGTTGTGCTATCATAGCTCACTGCAGCCTTGACCTCCCAGGCTCAAGTGATCCTTTCACTGGGACTACAGGCTTGTGCCACCATCCCTGATTTTAAAATTTTGTTTTAAGGCTGGGCGTAGTGGCTCATGCCTGTAATCCCAACACTTTGGGAGGCCGAGGCGGGCAAATCACAAGGTCAGGAGTTTGAGACCAGCCTGGCCAACATGGTAAAATCCCATCTCTACTAAAAAAAAAAAACTTAGTGGCGGGTGCCTGTAATCCCAGCTACTCGGGAGGCTGAGGCAAGAGAATCGCTTGAACCCAGGAGGTGGAGGTTGCAGTGAGCCAAGATCGTACGACTGCACTCTGGCCTAGGTGACAGTCTCAAAAAAAATTTTGTGTGTGTGTTACAGACAGGGTCTCACTGTATTGCCTAGGCTGGTCTCAAACTCCTGAGCTCAATCAAAATGCTAGGATCACAGGCATGAACCACTCCACCTGGCTAATTTTTCTTTTCTTTTCTTTTTTTGTTTTGTTTTGTTTTGTTTTGTTTTGAGACAGTCTCGCTCTGTCGCCAGGCGCCAGGCTCGAGTGCAGTGGTGCAATTTCAGCTCACTGCAACCTCCACCTCCTGGGTTCAGACAATTCTCCTGCCTCAGCCTCCTGAGTAGCTGGGACTACAGGCGCACACCACCACGCCCAGCTAATTTTTGTATTTTTAGTAGAGATGGGGTTTCACCATGTTGGCCAGGTTGGTCCCGATCTCTTGACCTTGTGATCCGCCTGCCTCGGGCTCCCAAAGTGCTGGGATTACAGGGGTAAGCCACCATGCCCAGCCTCTTTCTTTTTTTTTTAAAGAGAGGATTTTGCTGTGTTACCCAGGCTGAAGTACAGTGGTATGTGATCACAGCTCACTGCAACTTCTGCACCATGTGCTTAAGCAATCCTCCCACCTCAGCCTTCCAAGTAGCTGGGACTAGAGGCGCATACCACCATGCCCAGCTGTTTTTTTGTTTGTTCGTTTGAGATGGAGTCTCGCTCTGTTGCCCAGGCTATAGTGCAGTGGTGCGATCTTGGCTCACGGCAACCTACACCTCCTGGGTTCATGCCATTCTCCTGCCTCAGCTTCCCAAGTAGCTGGTACTACAGATGTCCGTCACCATGCCTGGCTGATTTTTGTGTTTTTCATAAAGACAGGGTTTCACCATATTGGCCAGGCTGATCTTGAACTTCTGACCCTGTGATCTACCCACTTCGGCCTCCCAAAGTGCTGGGACTACAGGCACTGGCCTGGCTTATTTTTTTATATTTTTAGTAGAGACAAGGTCTCGCGACATTGCCCAGGCTGGTCTCGAACTCCTGAGCTCAGCAATCTGCCTGCCTTGGTCCCCCAAAGTGCTGGGATTACAGGTTTGAGCCATTGTGCCTGGCATAATTTTTCATATTTGTAATTTTTAGCCTGCATAATTCTACATTAAGAAGGTAAGACATTTAATTAACCATATCATTACTGTTGGACATTGAGCTTGGCTACAGGTTTTTTGGTCATTTTAATGAAAGCAACCTTAAATATTTATATAAACAGTGTTTCAAAATCATTTACGTTACCTCCCTTTTATGATTTGTTAAAGCTGGAAGGATTGTGTAGCTCACTTAAGTTCTGCTCCCTCATTTTACAGACAAGGACTCTGAGTTTGAGTAATATCTCTGCAGTTATGTGGCTTGTAAGTGGCACAGGTAGGCCTTGCGCCCAGGCAATCTGGCACCAGAGTCTGCTCTTGACTACTGTACTCTTATGTGTCGCTGCTGAATTAAGCCTTAGTTAGCCACTTGAAAGTGTTTTTTAAAATTGGAAAGCTTTGGTAACTTTCATTGTTGAGCTTTTTTCTATATGAAAATGTGTTACCTAATGATGTTTTTTCCTTAGTTTGTAGTCTATCATCTGGAAAATTTGGGACATTACTTAGTGGTTCATGGGACACCACTGCTAAAGTCTGGCTGAATGACAAGTGCATGATGACCTTACAGGTACAGTGGTTCTGTGTAAATATTCTAAAGAATAATTAAATTTAATGATTCTGTGGCAACTTAAATTGATACCCGTTTTACTCACAGGGCCATACAGCTGCAGTGTGGGCGGTAAAGATCTTACCTGAACAGGGCTTAATGTTGACTGGATCAGCTGACAAGACTATTAAACTGTGGAAGGCTGGAAGATGCGAGAGGACTTTTTCAGGTAAGATCAGAGTAGACAAGTTTTATAATATCCTTGCTTTTTATTTGCTCAGATTTTCTTTTCTCAGAAGTTTAAAAGCATGAAAATATTTGAAAAACATTAGTATATTTAAGCTATTATTTCTGACGAGTTAGTATCTAATACCTTTTAAAAAGATATAATGAGACCGCTCATAAAACAGCCAGGTGTAGCCTGATAAATAGCTGTCTGATAAGCTGTAATATGTGTATGTGCTTCTCTATATATGTATGCAATTTTTGGTTGTCATTTTAATACTGGTTGTCATTTTAATAGCCTGAAACTTCTAATCATAAGCTTTACTGATGGTCAGTCAGCAGTGTTATCTTCATATATGGAAAAAAGTATTATTACTGCCTTTATATTGAAGTGCATTGTTTATAACGAATTTCAGGCTTTGTTTATGTTCTGGTTTATGGGAGTATTCTCTTTAAACCCCAGCTGTTAAATAATGCCTATACTGATGCATATGCTGTCTAAAAGTAATATCACTGATTTATTTGTAGGGTACTTAAATTTTTACTGTGAATTTTAATTGTTGTTGTTTTCCCTCTCTTTTTGAATTTTCTCCTTAAAAGTTGGTAACTACCCAGGATAATATGCAGGAAGTCCCTTTATACAGATAAAAGTATCTTTTGGCCGGGCGTGGTGACTCACACCTGTAATCCCAGTCGTTTGGGAGACTGAGGCGGGTGGATCACTTGGGGCCAAGAGTTCGAGACCAGCCTGGCCAACATGGTGAAACCCTATCTCTTTTAAAAATACAAAAGAATTAGCCAGATGTGGTGACACACACTTGTAATCTCAGCTATTTGGGAGGCTGAGGCACGAGAATGTCTTGAACCTTGGAGGCAGAGGCTGCAGTGAGCAGAGATCATGCCATTGCACTCTAGCCTGGGTGACGAAATGAGACTCCATCTCAAAAACAAAACAAAAAAGGAAAGAACAACAAAAAAAGTATCTTTGGATGGAAAATGGATGATGACTAAGCATCCTTCTGTTTCTGCTTCCATATATACTGTATAATTTGTATGAAGTGATTATTTATCTGTGATAGCTAACCTAAGGCAACAAATACTGAACATGGGAAATCTGACTTCTAATCTCCATCGCAAGCTTCAGAGAATGTTTTGTTCTTAAATTTATGGGCTACTCTTTGTTGTATATTTCCATTATATTTGAATATTTGTTTTTTGTGAATTACTCTTGTTATTGGGGAAGAAAAACTGAAAATGAATTATGGGGTGAAAATGAATTGTTGGGGCAAAAATACTATTTATGGAGGTTTTTGGAGAAGATATGATGAATATAAAGTAACTTTACAAGGCTGGTATTAAAAAAATATTGATAAACTTTAAATACAAATTTTGGTTACCAGGCTTTCAATAGAAAAAAAAGAAGATTTCTCTAACTTGAAAATTAATTTTTGCTACTCTCCGATATGGATTATAATGTTAGCAAAATATATGGAGCCATCAACCAGATTATCTATTTTAATGATTTGCATTATTGTTTTTTTAACGTAGGACACGAAGACTGTGTAAGAGGTTTGGCAATTTTGAGTGAAACAGAATTTCTTTCCTGTGCAAATGATGCTAGTGTTAGAAGGTGGCAAATCACTGGCGAGTGTCTTGAAGTATATTATGGACATACAAATTATATTTATAGTATATCTGTTTTTCCAAATTGTAGAGGTAAGATTATTTTATGCTATGTATTTAATGTTTTATATTGAGCATTATTCCATCCCACTTGTGAGATAGAGGGAGGAGGGCTGATTACTTAATTTACTGTCTGTGGCTTGAGTAATTTAATAAATTTATTTTGTAAGTATCTTTCTCCTGTTTACAAAGGAGAACACTGTATGGCCATCTTTTTATTTTATTTTATTTTTTTATGGAGATGGGTTTCACCATCTTGGCCAGGTTGGTCTTGAACCCCTGACCTCGTGATCCACCTGCCTTGGCCTCCCAAAGTTCTGGGATTATGGGTGTGAGCCACTGTGCCTGGCCTGTATGGCCATCTTTGTATTAATTCAGATTAGATTGTTGTGTTGTAAAAAGTTCTTGAGTATCTGAAGAAAGACTTTGTAAGATGTGACATGAATAAAAAGTGATTTTCAAGTTGTATATGTTGTAAGTGACAAACATGAAATTTAAAACTAATTTTAAAACACTTTGGGTTTTAAAAAGTCAGTTTATCTAGAAAGATGGTATGTATAAATATACTTAATTTTATGTAATCAAACTAATACTTCCTGTATTCATTAATTTTAGATTTTGTGACAACAGCAGAGGACAGATCTCTGAGAATCTGGAAACATGGGGAATGTGCTCAAACTATCCGACTTCCAGCTCAGTCTATATGGTGCTGCTGTGTGCTCGACAATGATGACATTGTGGTTGGTGCGAGGTATTTATATTCTAGTCAGTCATTAAATGTTAGGGGTCTTTTTAGTCAGTCATTAAATGTTAGGTGTCTAGGCCTTCAGTAGGCACTAGAGTGTACAGAGATAAGCCATAAGGAATTTCAGGTGACTTGGGGAGACTATATGGACACTTCAAATACTAAACAAAACAGTGGTAGATATCACAGCTTTCACACTAAGTGATGCATGTTATACCGGTATTGCACTGCAACTTGTGCAGTCAAGGTAGTGACTACAAAAGAAGTTAGAGAAGGTAGAGATTGGTGTGGGAAAACTTTCTGTAGAAGAAGAAATTTGAATTGGATTTTGAAAGATTATAAGTAAGAAAACATACATGAATTTTTGTCAAAGCTAACAGTATAAGTTTCCTTCCTGAGAATGAATGCAGCGTGCATAGAAGTGAAGGAAAATGTCATCCTAATGCTGGGATAACAGCTACAATGGTGGGCCTGGCGCAGTGGTTCACGCCTGTAATCCCAGCACTTAGGAAGGCTGAGGTGGGTGGATCACGAGAGGTCAGGAGTTCACTACCAGCCTGGCTAACATGGTGAAACCCCGTTTCTACTAAAAAAAAAAAAAACCACTAAAATTAGCTGGACGTGATGGCATGTGCCTGTAATACCAGCTATGAAGAGGCTGAGGCAGGAGAGTCACTTGATCCCTGGAGGTGGAGGTTGCAGTGAGCCAAGATTACGTCACTGTACTCCAGTCTGGTGATGGAGAGAGACTCCGTCTTAAAGAAAAAAAAATAGGTAGAATGGTAGTGGATAATAGGTACAATGGGGCTTAACTCTGGAGAATCTTTAGTGCTTTCATGCCTGGCATTTTTTAGATTCAGTGCTTAGGGTTAGAGCGTTGTGGTTTTTGAGCAGGAAATAGAATTAAAGCAGAACTTATGAATTATTAAATATGTAGATTGGATTTAACTGCTGGTGACAATGGACAGGAAAATAAATTAGAAAGCAAGTACAGTAGGAGTGTGAAGTTATAAGACATTGGCCCCACAGTGCTAATGGGTAGGAGATAAATAAATGAGATAATCCGGAAGGAAAACAATCAGAAAAAGGATGAAAGAAAAGAATAAAGCGTCAAACTGTTGGTGATTGGAAGTCCCCATTAATAAAAATGGAGAAGTGGGAGAATTGCTTAGGTGGAGAAGGTGATGATTGTGGCTTTAGACTTCATGAGGTCTACAGTGGTGGTGAGCCACACTCATGCTAGTGGATCATGGTCATTTAAACTGGAGCCTAGTATAAGAACTGAGGCTGAGAAAAAGATTTCGCAAAACTTCCAAAGGCAAACCACAGAACACCATTCTCTGAGGGAAGAAATACAGGGGGGGAACAGAAGACTAAGACTAAGAACTGAGTTTTACGATATACCATCAGTAGACAAAAAGAAGCTAGTAGATTAAACAGAACAAAGGAATTCAAATGTTGAAATTTTAGGGAGACAGAAAAAGAGATTTTGGAGGGAGATTGTCATCAGTATCAAAAGTATTTGAGGAGTCAAGGAATGGAAAGTTTGAAAAGCATTTGGATTTGGTTTGATAGATGTTATTAATTACTCTTTTGGCCTCAATCACATTTGGAATAGAATATCATAGAAAAAAGGCAAGTTAGAGGAGATGGATGAAGGATCATAGATTACTCTATAATGCTACTCTAGCATTGAAAGCAATAAGGACAGGTGCTGTGACTCACACTTATAATCCCAGCACTTTGTAAGGTCCAGGTGGGAGGATCACTTGAGCTCAGGAGCTCGAGACTAGCCTGGGTGAGCTAGCGAAACGCTGTCTCTACAAAAAAAAAAAAATTATTTAATTAGCTGGGCATGGTGGTGCACGTCTGTAGTCCCAGCTGCTCAGGAGGCCGAGGTGGTCCTCGAGGATTGCTTGGACCCAGGAATTTGAGGTTGCAGTAAGCTGTGATTGCCATCCCTGCACTCCAGCCTAGGTGACAGAATGGGACCCTGTCTCAAAAAAAAAAAAAAAGGAAGAAGAAAAAGAAGGTGACAGATGTAAGGGATAGAGGGTCTAATAAAGTAGGTGTTTTATTTTTTGGCTGGGGCGGGGCTTGATTTGTAGGGTTAGTTTTTTGCTCCCCACCCCCCAGCATATTTGAAGTTGAAGAAAAACTAATAAAGTGGTATAGATGTTTTGGATGATTAAGTTAGAAACAGGTTTCCTGTAGAATGGGCCAGGATTAATACAGTTGGAAGTGTCTAGTTTGTCTCTCCTGTCTCAGAAAATACAGATGGAAGTGTCTAATTTGTTTCTCCTGTCACAGAAAATACAGTTGAAAGTGTCTAATTTCTTTCTCCTAATCTAAGCATTTAGAATTAATAAATCATGGATATGAAGTAATTTTTCTGAGAAAAGAGGTTAAGGGCTGCCATCAAATCCAAACATGAGGCCATTTTTTTTTTCCTTGACTGAAGTTACATTGCTAGTTACTGGTACAGTAAAGGAAGACCACATTTTTCTACTGAACACCTGCTATTCTTAAGCCTTATATTGGGTATTTGAGTCCTTTATAAACTAAACCAGTTCAGTACCCTTCTCTATATGGTAATAACTATAAAATACTGACTTTAAATATATATTTCTCTGTTCTTTGTCAATAACTTCTCTGTTAAATAGTTGGCGTAATAGAGAGTAGTATGTGCTAAAGTCAGCACAGTGCTGTAATCAGCAACTAATACATGCTAATATTTCGCATACTCATTGATAGAGATTATTTTAACTGTGGATCATTCACATGTGATAATGTTAATGTATTATGGCAATGACTTTTAAAATCAGGTTGTTTTTCCTTACAGTGATGGCATTATTAGAGTGTTTACAGAATCAGAAGATCGAACAGCAAGTGCTGAAGAAATCAAGGCTTTTGAAAAAGAGCTCTCTCAGGCAACCATTGATTCTAAAACTGGTGATTTAGGGGACATCAATGCTGAGCAGCTTCCTGGGAGGGAACATCTTAATGAACCTGGTAAGTATTTTATTGTACCTAATAGAAAAAATTCTACCATATTTGCCTTTTGGAATAATGAAAAGAAGATAAATGTTTTGCTCTTGTTTTAGTGTTACTCTTACTGCTTGATACTGATTTTTGAGAATTTTTACTATTATACATAATCACTAGGAGAAACCATATTCTTGCCTCTGTCTCACAGTAGACTTTGAATTAAGCTTCTGATAAACAGGAATTAAAAAATAAATCTACCAGCACTTAGATCATTTACAGTAGGCACTCAGAAGGCACTCATTTAATGCTTTTTGGTTGATTGGATTCCTGGAGCGGGGTTGTGCAAACTGAATGTTAAAATGAGTTTAAATACAAAATTAGCCAGGTGTGATGGCATGCACCTGTAGTCCCAGCTATTTAGGAGACTGAGGTGGGAAGATGGTTTGAGCCCAGGTTCGAGCCCAGAATGTGGAGGCTGCAGTGAGCTGAGACCACACCGTTGCACTCCAGCCTGGGTTACAGAGTATGACTCTGTCTCAAACAAACAAAAGAAAAAAAGAGTTTAAATCAGGCATTATCTGTGTAATGAATTGGGAATGATTTGAGTTTGAAATCAGAGGACAGTAGTCATCTCAAATGAAATCTTGTGTTGGATATATCCCTTGACTGCAGTATTATACCAGTGCTTCTCAAAGCTTGATTCATGGACCTCTGGGGATTCTGAGATCCTATCAGCATGTCCATGAGGTCAAAACTAATTTTTATAATACTAGATATTTGACTTTTTTACATTGTGTTAACGTTTGCACATTGTGCTAACATTTACACTTATGGTACAAAAACATTGGTGGGTAAGACCACTGGTTCCTTCGTATGTAAATCAAGGCAGGGGCACTAAACCATTCTAGTAAGTTACTGTGTTCTTCACTTGCATGCAGTTGTAGTTTTTTTGAAAAAACCATTTACCATTAAACATGTCCTTGATGAGGCATTAATATTAAGAATTATCAATTTTATTACAATTTGACACATCTTTTTAAATATTCTGGGTGAGAAAACAGAAAATAGACATAAAGTAAATCAAAATACTGTGGTGTCTTGAAGAAAAGCATGTTTATAGTCTTTTGAGTTACAGCCTAAACTACCAGTTTTTTCAGCGAGTGCTATTTTTTGAAAATGAACAAATTGAGTATGTTCCTTTAAGGAAAATAACAGACAATATATGTTGCCAAAATAAAATTCAAGCTTTTGAGTGAAAATTGAAATTTAGGAAAAAGTATCTCCACCAGGATCTTAGTAGCTTCCCAGTTGTATTGATACCAGTGGTAATATTAACAAATGCATTTTTAAATATTGAATAATAAAATGTATAAATAAGCAGAAGATCTGCTTAAGTCATTGAACCATTATTTTCCATATGACCAGTATCTGATACCAACTCAGACATGGGTGAGAAATCCGTTCAAAGTGTAAGATAGATCAGTAGTAGATTTTAGTATAATAGGGCATGAGAAATTCATTAATGTGGTTTCAGATTGTATAGTATATAACCTTTAAAAAAACTAGTATTTCTGGCCTATCCATATTTTCTGAAAAGACTTGTCTTCTCTTTTCAACTGCCTACATGTGTTAGACTGGATATTCTTTATGTAGTCAACCAAAATAACAAATTGTGACAGATTAAGATGGGGTAGGTAGGGAGATTAAAGTATGATGGACTAGGCTAGAACTGGCATATATCACACCCATCCAGATTACACTGACCATTACTCAGTAATGTGACATCATGCGACTGCCTGATGCAAGGGGGCTAGATAATATAGTCTCTGGCTAGACAACTACAGCTGTATCCAATAGAAGAAGAGCATGATTCGTTGAAGGACGGATAGCTGCTTTCGCCACGAAAGGCCTTGTTGAAAACGTGACATTTGTGTAAAGTCCTTAAAGAGGCAGAGGAGCAAATACTGCCAATATCTGTGTGAAGAGTATCATAGACAGGATAAAAAGTCAGTGCAAAGGCTCTGTGGCTGAAGTTGGGAGATGAGGGGACAGTAGAAAGTAAGATGAAGGGAATAGTAGAAAGTAAGATCATATAGGATAGTGGGGGCAATTTATATGTGGTCTTGTACACTTCTTGAGGGTTTAGGCTTTTACCAAGTGAGATGAGAAGCATCGATGGGTTTCAAGCAGAAAAGTGTCAGTACCTACTTAAACCTTTGAAAAAATCTGAGGTTGCTGGGTGGAATATACACTGTTGGGGGCCAAGAGCACAGGTAAGAGGCCATTGAATCAATCCAATTGAGAAATGATGGTGGCTTGGACCAAGGGATGATGATGGAGATGTTAAGAAGACATAGTTTTCTAGATACATTTAAAAGAATGAGCTGATAGAAGTAGCTGTAGGGGGTGCCGAGAAGTAGGTGAAGGTGCTGTGGGGTTAAGAGAAAGAGGTAGCAGACTTTTCTATTTTTTGGCTTGAGCCACTGGATTAATGTAGAGCCATTTACCAAAATGAAATGTGTTAGGAGGATATATTCACTAATATTGTTTTATTTTTGATGGGCCAGTTCTTTCCTAGTAGAGTCATGTTTTGTCAACCTTCCCTTGATTAATAATATTTCATTTTAACTGTCACTTTCTTTTGGCCACTTTCTAGTAAAATTACATTTTTAAATCTTTTATTTAGTACAATTTTCTTTTAAAACAAAATCCATATTCTCTTATGTGTAAATTTTAATGTTAAGAAATTTCTATCTAAATGTTTTTCAATTTTACACTGCCATTCTACCTTTGATTCTTAAAATTTTTATTTTAAGGTACTAGAGAAGGACAGACTCGTCTAATCAGAGATGGGGAGAAAGTCGAAGCCTATCAGTGGAGTGTTAGTGAAGGGAGGTGGATAAAAATTGGTGATGTTGTTGGCTCATCTGGTGCTAATCAGCAAACATCTGGAAAAGTTTTATATGAAGGGAAAGTATGTCGACTTCTTTCTAATTACCATTATCTTAAATGATTAGGCAAATGAAAGGTTTGCTTTGCCCCATAGTGATAAAATGTCTTTGTTTTGACATTTAAAAATACATTACATTTTTCCCTGTCATGAAATTGGTATTTTAGAAGTATCTTCCCATGTAGAGAGAGCTGCATTTGATGGACAAATTAGCAAGTGTCTGTCGCTTAGTAGTTCCTTTAAAAAGCTGTTTCCAGCCATTTTGGATTGGGAGCTTCTGTGCCACCTTTCATCTAATGCCTTATGCCTGGCTATATTTATTTTGACAAGACATGAGGGACCCTGCAGGGCAGTGCTTAAAATGCCAGCATGTTTTGGTGAGTAGGGCACAGTAACAGCTGATAATTTTGGCCTTGATATCAACCAGTTGGAAACCCTCCTTTGGTCCTAGAATTAATATGTAGTTGTAATCCATCCTTCATCCTCACCCCCATCCCCTAGTGAAATACTAATTTTGCATCACATGCATATGGGGGCGATTAATCTTTATCTGCCAAAAAGGAAGATTTTACCACTGCACTTTAGAGAAAGTTTAAGTACTCTAATTTTGTTAAAATAAAGAACACATCTGTGTTGTATATGTCATTAATATATGTGAACAGATAAATTAATAAACATGTATCTCCTTTTTATATTCCTACTTTAGGAATTTGATTATGTTTTCTCAATTGATGTTAATGAAGGTGGACCATCATATAAATTGCCATATAATACTAGTGATGATCCCTGGTTAACTGCCTACAACTTCTTACAGAAGAATGATTTGAATCCCATGTTTCTGGATCAAGTGGCTAAATTTATTATTGATAACACAAAAGGTCAAATGTTGGGACCTGGGAATCCCAACTTTTCAGATCCATATACGGGTAAGTTAGTGTTTATATTAAGTCTTACGTAGTTCCATCCATGTTGATTTATTTTTTTGATGTTTTCAAACACTTGTGATTAGCTTTTTCAGTAAAGACAAACATTACAGCAGGGTTTTACTTCATATTCATATGTTTAAGCCTCAAATTATGTTGTAAATCTGTATTTTACAGAAATAATCATAAATTGTCTTTCAGAAATACAATCATACTATAATATAAACTAAATAATGAAATGTCAGTTATTTGAAACAAAAATAAACTTCTAAGTTCTTTTATATAGTGTTTCTTTTAAAACTATATATTTTGGCAAAATTTAGTAAATAATTCTTTTTTCAGATAAGGCTACATTGGTTAGTTGTGCCTCAGATCTAAGAGTGAACCCTGTGGGTAGTTTTAGTTTATATGTGGTGTGTATTCTACACATTCATTTTAAGTTAGTTGTTTGTAACATTGTATGCAATATCTCAGATGTTATAAATGCAGTTAGGTGCTCATACCAGTCTGTAAGTTATAATCCTGGTGGTACTAGTCCAAATTCTGGCTCCTAGGAAGTGGATTCTTAACCTAGTAACATTAACTTGAGTTCTGGAGACTGGTATATGGTATAGGAGGAATAAAATGCCTCCTCTAACTAATAGTTTTATATAGGTACTTTACCATTAATGTTTCCTCTTGTCATTTCTCATGCACGTTTTTCATGTGCTAGTGATCTTCCTTGTTTTACAAGAACCTCATATATATTCCTGTCTCAAATCCTTATGTAGATCCACCTTTTCTTCCCTGACAGGCACTCCACATTCCCAAATTATCTCCTCTCCTTCTACTTCAGAATTTCATTGCTCATTCATATAATAAAGTTAATGTTTCCTGCATGTTGATTTAAATAGAAGTATCAAAGTAACTCACTATTGACTTAAAGATGATCTAATCCTCCAAATACTTGCACTTGAAAAAAGAAAAAAAGAAGTGCTTAGTATCTGGAGATTTTTGTTGTTGAAATTTCAGACTACCGTTCAAAAGAGTGAACACATATTGTTGTACTGTGTATGTTATTTTGGGTGTGGGATACAGGAAAGGAATTAAACTAGCTGACTTTGTCTGGAAACCTCAGAACTACTTGGCTTGTTTTGCCCTTCCGAGACTCTTACTTTTATCTATCTGTCTGTCTGTCTATCTTTTTGAGATGGAGTCTCGCTCTGTCACCCAGGCTGGAGTGCAGTGGAGCTATCTTGGCTCACTGCAGCCTCTACCTCCCAGGTTAAAGCAATTCTCTGCCTCAGCCTCCTAAGTAGCTGGGATTACAGGTGCCTGCTACCACACCCAGCTAATTTTTTTTTTTTTTAGTAGAGATAGAGTTTCACCATCTTGGCTAGGCTGGTCTTGAACTCCTGACCTCGTGATCCACCTGCCTCGGCCCCCCAAAGTTCTGTGATTACAGGTGTGAGCCATTGTGCCTGGCCCCAAGACTCTATAAGCATCTTAGAAATTTTTTTTGTGTGTGTGGACAACCTGATTATTTCCCTAGAGGTGGTAACAAAACATAAGCACATATACCAGACATTCGTAAATGTATAAATGGAAATCTTTTTCCTTTGTAGTTTCCATCCCCTTTCTAATTCTCTTCTCCAGTAGGTTGTAAGGTTCAGTGAATATAAGCAATTTTGTTCCCTGCTAGATCCCCAGTACTGAGTCCATTGTTTGACACATGAATTAATGAACCTAGAGTTCTAAAAGATTAACATTTAGTGCCTGTGGTTTTGACAGCAACAACAACTGCAGGAATTCTAGTGAATTTGTATAGGAACAGGGACAGGAATTGATTGTATGTATATATATTTAGGGCAGATATGACCTGCAATTCTCTTTTGATATTTGAATTCAGTTTTAATATTTAAGTGCTGGGGCTAAGATACAATAAAGCATTAAAGTTAAGAAAACAAAACTTGGAAAATCATTAAAATTTCAGTTTTTTCCCAGCTATAATAAGACTTCTAACTGTAGTTTCTGATATTTCTGTCATGTGAAAGTTTTGCTCTTCTGTTTTTCTCCAGATATAGGTTCTTCTAATATAAGCATTATGCTGTTTGTAAAAATCAGAACTTTGCTTTTTCTTCGTTTTGCCTTGACAGGTGGTGGTCGTTATGTACCGGGCTCTTCAGGATCTTCTAATACACTACCCACAACAGATCCTTTTACAGGTGAGATGCAGTTTTGAGTCATATGTCTTTCTTCACTAAATGTGTAGCATCTTACATTATGTGGCTTTACATCTTGGAGATGTCATCCAGTAACTGATAATTACCTTATCTGTATTTCCAATTTTGATGGATCTCCTTTTCTTTAACTTCTGATTTTTGCTTTTTCCTGGAGTAGTTATGTAGATTTCCTCATGGCTTTTAAATAGCATATTATTAGAGTTCATTGTTTTTTCCAGGGGTCTTTCCCACCAGGAGAGCAGAGTAGTTAACAACATAGGTTTTAGAGTCAAACAAACCTTGTTTCGAAATTGGGCTCTACCACTTACTTGCTATGAGAAGTTAGCAAGTTACCTAACCTATCTGAGCCTATTTTTTTTATCTGTGAAATTAGATAATAGGGGAACCCACCAACCAAGACACAGCTGAGTGCTATCACACTGGTGAGATGGTACCAATCACGAGCAGAGAAGGAGCCATGTGAGTCCCTGATACTGGATGGAGCAGTGCAATCAAGAAACCCAGGCATATTTTGATATAACATGGAAGGAGACATTCCACCCAGCTACACAGGAATAGTCTTCCTAATCTAAGTTATTAATGTCCTTCTTGAAGCCCTTGAAGTGTTGGTGTGTCTCCTCAAAATGAATTTATTTACCAAGGTATGGATGCCTCAGCATCAACACTACTGGAAAAAGTTGCCAGAGTTGGACTTTAAGGCAGTTGAAGAAGTCTCTATGTTCAGAATGGCTTTGATATCTTGTATGATGCTGTTGCTGGATCTTCAGACAGAGTTCCTCGACAATCTCAGTTTGGGAAGAGATTCATAGCCTTTAGGTATCTATTGACCTTGCAGATTAGTACTGTGAGCTATAAAAATATAACCTACAATGAGCCATTGATTGGACAAATACCCAAGGTTAGGTCGGTGTCATGAAGTTGTGGATTGCTGTCAGTGAGCTTCCTTTTTCCTGTGAATGTATTGGTGGCCCAGATGCAAATGGTTATACCATGTGCATTGATAACCAGTAAATGAAAAGAATTAGCCATCACACTAAATGCTGTGATGGTCCAGTGGCTGTTAAGGAAGTCTTTGATAACATACTGTGATGTCAAAGGTAGTAAGCATCTGAAGAGTAGATAAAGATGGCTTTCTCTTTATTAGCAGTTCTGAAACAGTGATGCCCTGAAACTTACACCAAGTGAGAATCCAAATTACTTTGGCGGCTTTTTTTTGGAACAGAAAGAACATACCAAGCTTCAAGTAATAACAGCAAAATCAAGAAGTCTCCTGGGGCCATCATAACCAGAGCATATCTCACTGTTCCATAATGTCAGTAACTCAGAAGATGCAATGATTATGCAGATATGCAAGATAGTATGCACAGTGTCCAAGAGAATTAGGGTATCATTAGGATAATTGAATAAACTTTTATATAAATAGATAACAGCATCTACCATATCGAGGTATGAAAATAAAATAGCATCATATGTGTAAGTGTTAAGCAAAATGCCTGGAGTATATTTAAGCCATTGGTATATGTTAGTTATTGTTGAGGATGATGATGTTTTCCTAACTTTGTCAACAGCACTGGGGCCAAAAGACTTCCCTATTCGGCTACAACTTAAGGTCAATCTTAATTCATTTTTCTGTTCTTATTAATTTATGCAGTCCTTAAACTGCTAATGTTTATTAGAATGATCTGGGAATCTTGTTTAAATTACTTATCCCAGGGTTCTACTGCCAAGAGATTGTGATTCACTAGATTAGTGAGGAGGTTAAAACTATTCATGCTCTGATCTCCCACCCAAGGATTCTAATTAAATAAATGATCTTGGGTGTAGTTTGATCTTAGATTTTTTTTTTCCTTTTTTGTTTTACTTTTTTGAGACAGAGTTTTGCTCTTGTTGCCCAGGCTGGAGTGAAATGGTGCGATCTCAGCTCACCACAACCTCCACCTCCAGAGTTCAAGCCGTTCTCCTGCCTCAGCCTCCCAAGTAGCTGGGATTACAGGCATGCACCATCACACCCAGCTAATTTTGTATTTTTAGTAGAGAAGGGGTTTCACCATGTTGATCCGGCTGGTCTCAAACTCCTGAGCTCAGGTGATCCGCCTGCCTCGGCCTCCAAAAGTGCTGGGATTAAAGGTGTGAGCCACCATGCCTGGTAATCTTAAAGTTCCTTAAGTGTTTCTAAAGTGGAGCCAGTTTGGAGTACCCCTGGGTTATGGGTGAACTCTGGGAATCTGTGTATTGAATCTGATTCATTCAGTTGGACAGAGAACCATATTTAGAAAAGTGTGGACTGTATTTTACCCATTAACAGCTTAATGTCTTGGGCAAGTTATTCAACCTTCTGCTTCTAAAATATTGTGAATTATAATGGTATCTACATAATACTTTAATAAAGCTGATTAGCTGGCATATGGTTAAAATTCAGCAAATCCATTCTGTGTTCCTCATTTTAATTAATCTTACTTTTTTTTTGGTTTGTTTTGCTTTTTTAATTTTGTTTGGCTTTTCTGTATGTGTTGTACTGGTTATAACAACTCCTAGAGTATAAACTCAGAGAGGCTAGAAGAGTAGCTCAGTTTTCTTCTTCCCATAAAGGCTGATCCAGTTTTCTGAACATCTCCAAATCCTGCTGATTCTCTCTCTACACTTTTTATGTTTCCTTCTTTCTATTTTCAGTAAGACAGCCACAAGTATTATCTGTAATAAAATGTTTCTGGGCTGTTGTCATAGTATCTCTCTTACCTCAGTCTTTTCCAATTGTGTTATGTGTTAGTTAGTCCCACTCCTTTACTTTAACAGAATAGCATTCATATTTTGTTCTGCAAACTTTTATTTCTCTCCAATCCACTTGTATTTTTGTAATTTACTAAACTTCCATCATTATAATATATAAGGCATGTAATGTTTACTTTGTAGCCAACATTTACTGGGCACTTAAAACATGCCCAGGCACCGTTCTAAGCATTTTTCTGTATTCAATTTATGACATATTTATTATGTATATAATGATGCCATTGTGAAGTGTGCTTAACAATGGGAATAATTGAGTCTATTTAAAGAAGGAGCAGTTTGAACTTGATAATTTGCAGTCACCTTTGCTTACTAGAAGTATTACTGTATTGTAGGTGCTGGTCGTTACATACCAGGTTCTGCAGGTATGGGAACTACCATGGCTGGAGTTGATCCATTTACAGGTACATACTTTTTATTTATTTTTCTTTTTAGATTTTAAAAATTCATTGGAACTAATAATTAATAAAAAAAAGTAAGAAAATTTGTTTTAATTTTTGCTTGAGAACTTTTTATATAGTAAATCAAGATCAGACTTGTCTGGCATTTTTAGTTTTCTCCGAATTGTCTCATTACTACTATTAGAATCATCTGGGGAACTTTACAAACATACTTCAGCCTTATCCCCAGAAGTGCTTACTTGGTCTAATTCTGCTCTGAGTTAGGTGCTTGACAAAGGGTAGCTTTATAATCTTCCAGTGTGATTCTAATATGCATCCAGAATTCGAAACTACTGTTTTACTATAGTAAGTCTGCTTTCCTCACTACTCTTACAAAGTCTGTGTTTATTCTAATCTCTTCATTCTAACTTAATGTGTTGAGAATGTTATTCACTGGATTATACATTGTTCTCTTTAAGAAGACCCAGGAAAGTATTTGTTTCTGTGATTTAGGCCTGGAATAGCTACTGTTCTTCTGAGCAACTGATTTTTTTTTAATCCTTAGTTATCTAGTCTACAGTCTGACATACCTCACTTGTTCATTGAATATATGCTGGCATGTTTTCCTCTGTATTAGTTGCCAGAAAAACACAGAACTAAATTTGTGGTTCATCTCTTTTAAGTTTGACATATTTCTTGGCACATATTTTTTCTACATAAGTTTTATGTTCTATATAATTTATATAAGAGAAATTTAGTAACATATATGTTATTCAGCATCAAAATAAACACCCATAAACCCACCACTTAATAACTTAGCATATTTTTTATTAATTTTGAGATGAGATCTTATTTTGTTACCTAGGCTGAGCTCAAACTCCTGGGCTCATATGATCCTCCCACCTCTGCCTCCTGAGTAGTTGGGTTTACATGCGCATGCTACCATGTTCAGCACTTGGCATGTGATTTTGTAAGCTATTTTTTAATTGAAAAAGTAACATTGGTTAGCAATACTGAAGTATAACATAGTACTTGTAATTAAGATTATGGACTCTGGAGTAAGAATCTAGATTCAAATCTCAGTTCCACTACTTTTTATCTATTTGACCTTGAACAGGTTATTTGATGTGTCTGTGCTTTTGTTATTCTCATTTGCAAAGTTGAGAATATCTACCTTTTAGAATTGAGCTTAAAATTATAAAATTTATGTAAATAACTTTTTACCAAATTAATCCTTAGTAATTGCTAGCTGTACTTGTTAATAAAAGTTAACAGTGTTCCCTCTCATTTTCCAGAAGTTAGTTTTTTTTTTTTTTTTTTTTTTTTTT